TTAAATGGTCATAGCTCAGTCCTTTGCAAATATTAGTATAATTTTATTTCTCTATAGTCATAAAAAGTCGACTTTTTAAAAATTTCATTGATTGCACAAAACACATAAATATTAAGATTTATCAATACATGTGTTTGCAGATAGCTAGATAGCAAAATCAATCTAAGAGATATTATACAAGATATACATGCAATTAGAAACTGGGAAAAAAGAAGAAACCTGAGAATGCATATGATTTTCAGTCAGAAAGCATTGCTGAATTTATTATGGTATGTGCCACTGCATTTGCAGTCTGGTACTGTCAAATCATGTGTTTCCTCCTGGTGGTAAATAAATGCCTAAGCCATTACTGCACTGACAGATTTGGGGGATAGATAGAAACTAGGTATCAAACACACATCCCATTTATTTGAGAATGGTGCTATAAATGCTTGCAAAAGTATTCTCTACCAGCCTAATCTGCTTCCAAGTACTTCATTTTTAACTGGGAGATTAACTTAAATGCTGTAAAATCCAGATGAAATAATATGATAGAAAATGAACTGAGGTCATGGCACCAATTCTTGAAGTTCCTTTAATGTTAATATAGTTACTTCATCTATTAGTGTAGACAGAAGTCTGTCACTGTCCATTTTATTTTAGACAGTATCTTGCTATGTTGCCCAGGCTGACCTCAAATTCTTGTGTTCAAGTAACACACCTGCCTCGGACTCCCTAGTATTAGAACCACAGCCATGAGTCACCATGAGCAGCTGGACGCTTTTACTGACAAAAATGTGGATTTGCTGGTATTTTGTTTGGAGCATATATCCTGTAAGTATTTGGACCATTTATTATGAAGCTGAGGGAGGGAGGTTTAGTTTTTATGGTGCTCTAGTCAATTATAGGGCAGTTGACTGCAGTTGCTTAATGCTGAGACCTCTGCATGCCTCTACTCTGTTCTAAAATGGTGTGGCTCCTGGACCAGCAATAGCATCTCCTGGGAGCTTGCTATAAATGCAAACTCTCAGAACCTCTTCTAGGCATACTGAATGAGAAACTTTGGAGGTGGGCCTTAGCAGTTTATATTTTACCAAGTCCTCCAAATACTTGTGATTTGTGCTCAAAGCTGAAAACCACATTCCTAGAGGCACTGACATGGACTATATAGTCTCTCTTTGAATCATGATGAGCAACTACAGTTCAAGACTATTCTAAAGGAAACTTGCTAAACTCTGACTGTATAGTTCCTCATAATTACTTAGGGAATCTGTGCAGGATGGAGTCTACATCTTCAAAGCCATCTTCCCTGAGAAATGTCCCAGGTATTGAGAAAATTCTCAGAACTACTTATAGGATGTGAATCTTATTTTCCCAAGATGAAAGGCCATTTATTCATTTCATCAGCATATATTTTTGAGCATTTACTTAGCTCTACTCACATATGTGAGACAAAGGTCTTGCAGTCTGAGAGAAAAAATAAGGCATAAACATCACAATATAATAAATGGGAAAAGAGATCACCTCCAATGAGGGAAATCAACCTCAACTTTGAGGAAAATGAACGACAGATTTAGCTTCTATTTATTTATTTATTTATTTATTTATTTATTTTTAATACCAGGGATCGAACTTGGGTCCTTGCACTTGCGCAGCAGGTGGCAAAACCACTGAGCTAAATCCCTGGCCTAGCTTCTATTTATTAAAAAAATCAACAGTCATAGATAATTTTGAGCTACCATAAAACATGATCATTAGTGACATTTAGAAATGTAAATTTGGCTCTATTCTCCAAAAGGAGAAAGAAATGGAAAGTGAAGACCAGGTACAATATAATTATAACAGTTGAGAAATGAGTAGGGCTTGAACAATGAAATTGTACCAATGAATATCTTTAGGATTATTGGTAAATAAAATAGATAATTAAAATATGCATCTAAAGCTTGAACACTAAAGAAGTGATATTGCTTTATTATTAAAATGAAAAATGAAAATGAAATAAAAAGTGAAGAACAGAGCTTGAGATAAAGCACATGTTATGTTGTAAGCGTATTAAGCATGAAATGCATGCAAGAAAATCTAAATTAAGGGGTCCAGATTACAGATATAAGTGGGAGAAAGGGAATAGGATTAGACATATCAATTGAGAGGCTTCCACACAGAAGTGATTATTGACACTATTGGAATGAAAGACATTTTTTAAAGGGAAAGGGAGCTGAGAGAAAGATGAGGGGTACCACAGAAAACATCTTGCATAATAACATTTATGGGTCACAAGAGAAGTGTATGTAGAAGAGGAACGGAAACTAGAACCAATGCCATGCAAACAAGGATGGAATTTACCAATATGGGGAAACTAGCTGTTGATAACTCTTATCATTCTTGTATATTTTCTGTTAGTGTTCCAGTGTTTATGTTGATCTCATTTTAAAATATTTTAAGCTTAAAAATATGAAAAACAAAAAGAATATTTAGCTATTACATAATGCACATTTTTAGGCACTTCAACACTTTGTAGTACTTTGGAAGCAAACTGGAAGAGAATAGTCTCACAGAAAGAAAATATTACATACACAAAATAATAGTACAATACACAGTCTGGCTTACAGAGTCTTCCTTTCAGCCTGTGATCCCTATACTACTCTTAATAACACAGTCATCCCCTGGAAATAGGCTACTAATTTGTCTATCTATACTAGACTGGAAGCCACTGACCAATATTGTAAATTAAGTTTAATGTCCTATAGGTACTGCATATGAATAGCTACTGAAGGACTAAATATGATTAAATATTAAATTATATTGCATACTACTTTATCATGTGTTATTTTCTATGATTTCTTACTGTACTAATATGTTTACAGTATTAAATGGTACCATTATAAACTCTCTGCTGACCTATGAAAAAGTCTTCCTATGGCCAATATAATATTATTTCTGGTAAGAATTGGATTTTATTTATAACATTTCCAAATGTATCCTGGATTTAGGATAAAAGAAACACCAAAATATGACACATTTTAAATAATTACTATCTTCTAAAATTTGTTTTTTGTGAAAACTGCTTTTTTAAAAAAGTCTTGTACAGGTAAAGGTTTTCTTCCAGCGTTCCTAGAATGGAGTTGTTAGCTTCCTAAGTAACTCTTTTAACTTTAGGGGCATTAAACAGTTTTCTCAGTTTTCGCTTGAATGTTAGAACCCTAAAATGTCTGCTATATGGCTCAGGATTATCAAACTATTAGAATTAATGCATATACATGGATCTCAGGAAGTGAGTTTTAGTATCCCTAAAGTCAAAACAAGTATCACAAAGTCACTTAGAGTAACAGTCAAAAATGTTCCACAATCTTTGATGTTTTATACCCTCATGGATTTTATACTTAATGCTGAGTTCATTCTATACTAAAATCCATGAATGTTTCAATTCACCTTGATCTGATAACTGAGTATTACATTGATGATCACAGTGGAAAACAGCTACATGTATAAGTATTGTTAGGCTAACCATATTGGCAGTATTTAGAATTGAACTATAAATCCTGATATCATGTTCTAAATATGAAAATGACAAACAAGAGATCAGAAAATAAGTGATTTTTTATTCTTAGAAACAACCAATAAGAAATTTGAGAAGTTATGTTGGAAAAGTTATGATAAAGAGAACACAAGATAATAATCCTCAAATATTTGAAGATTTATCATGTGAACAGGGTGAAGAGGAAAGAGAGACATCAGATCTTAGAACTGTTTATTTCATTTATATTAGACTTTTTGATTCTTATCACCAAATAGATCATACTGAGAAATATTTTGGCATTATTTTATGTGTGAAATAAAGAGACTATTAAAACAGCATGTTTCATATACTCATTCAGGTTTAATAATATTTTCAAAACCCCAAATTCAAGAACTGAGTCTTAGTGAAAAATTAATCACTCCAAGTTGAGTTTTATTCTCTCCCCAACTTAAAGGCAGCACAGTACACACAATTTAAAAATATTTCTCGGGGCTGGGGATATAGCTCAGTGGTTCCGCTGCCTGCTTCACAAGCGCAAGGACCTGAGTTCAATCCCTGGCACCAAAATATATATATATATATTTCTCAAACCAAGCTCAGTAGAACATGCCTGTAGTCCCAGCTACATGGGAGGCTGAGGCAGGAAGATCCCTTGAGCCCAGGAGTTCCAGCCTCTCTGGTTAAGAGCAACCCTGTATAAAATTAAAAAGTAAGGATGGCTTCATAGGGTCCAAGAACATAAAAGTCTGTGACATGGCTGCCTATTAATCTCTATAAAATGAGAGAACTGGGTGTAGCGGCATGTACTTGTAATATCAAGTACTTGAAATGCTGAGGCAGGAGGATCCCTTGAGCTCAAGAATTTGAGGTCAGGCTTGGGAACTTAGTGGGATCCCCTCCCTCCCTCCTTCCCTCTCTCTTTCTCTCTCTCTCAAAAAAATCCTTTTTGCATCATCAAACTAAATGCAGTTTTCTCTCTTTTTTCTCCTAACAACAACAAACAACAGCAAACAAGTAAATGGCCAAAGACAGGATTGGTTGAATTTACTATCTGCAGTAAGAGTATATTACTGTCCAAACATGTGATGTTTAGAAAGAGTAACGATTCCTTATGATCTGTGTGAATCAAAATGGTAGAAGTCAGTATTTTATTACTTTTTGTTTTGTTTTTGCATTGCTAAGGATGGCACCGGGCCTTGAACATGCTAAGTACATTCTCTACTCCTCAACTGCTCCTCCCGCCATCATGACTCTCATCCCTGATTTTTTTCCTACTATTTTCATAGCAACAAAAAAGAAAATGTGACCCCTTTATACTTTCCAGCTACTTCTGAAATATTTGGCATTATTGAACATAAGATTTAAAGTAATAAAGGTCTCTGTTTTGTCTCCCAGAAATGACCCATTTAAAAATGTTCATGAAGTAAAACATGAAAGTTTTCATATCCTCTTGTTTTCTTTAAAAATAATGAACTCAACTCTACTCTGTAATATTTTTAAACAGACAATAAAGATTACGATGCCTACTTATCATATACCAAAGTGGATCCTGACCAGTGGAATCAAGAGACGGGGGAAGAAGAACGTTTTGCCCTTGAAATTCTCCCTGATATGCTTGAAAAGCATTATGGATACAAGTTGTTTATACCAGATAGAGATTTAATCCCAACTGGAAGTAAGGCAAAGTTTTAATTGCCATATATATTTGCATATTTGTGTGTCTGTGTTGTCTTCATGTTTTACATAAAATTTTAATTTGGGGTTCTATACTTTTAAAATTGTTATCCTTAGTTTCACAAGAAGATGTTTTTGTGTGTTTATATGAAATTTGTCAATACTCCAGAGAAGATGCTTCATTATTCCATAAAGCATCTCATTCCATGAAACTTGACACATAACGGAATCAAATGAGATATTTGTACTTGGGGGAAGTATTTCTAACATTAGGAAAAGCAAGGCCCACAGTCTATTGAAAGTGATCAATGCCTGTTTTCATGTTCTCAAAGTATTACTCAACAAAGGGAAACTGTCATTTGATGTGTGAGAGAATCTACAGGGGCTTTCACTCATTCTGATACATTCTTTTTTCTTTGTAGCATACATTGAAGATGTGGCAAGATGCGTAGATCAAAGCAAGAGGCTGATTATTGTCATGACTCCAAATTACGTGGTTAGAAGAGGCTGGAGCATCTTTGAACTGGAGACCAGACTTCGAAACATGCTTGTGACTGGAGAGATTAAAGTAATATTAATCGAATGCACTGAGCTCCGAGGCATTATGAACTACCAGGAGGTGGAGGCCCTCAAGCACACCATCAAGCTCCTGACGGTTATTAAATGGCACGGACCAAAATCCAACAAGTTGAACTCTAAGTTCTGGAAACGTTTACAGTATGAAATGCCTTTTAAGAGGATAGAACCCATTACACACGAGCAGGCTTTAGACGTCAGTGAGCAGGGGCCTTTCGGGGAACTGCAGACTGTCTCGGCCATTTCCATGGCTGCGGCCACCTCCACCGCTTTAGCCACTGCCCATCCAGATCTCCGTTCTACCTTTCACAACACGTACCATTCACAAATGCGTCAGAAACACTACTACCGAAGCTATGAGTACGATGTACCTCCTACCGGCACCCTGCCTCTTACCTCCATAGGAAATCAGCATACCTACTGTAACATCCCTATGACACTCATCAACGGGCAGCGGCCACAGACAAAATCGAGCAGAGAGCAGAATCCAGATGAGGCCCACACAAACAGTGCCATCCTGCCACTGTTGCCAAGGGAGACCAGTATATCCAGTGTGATATGGTGACAGAAAAGCAAGGGACATCCCTTCCCTGGGAGTTAGAGTGGAATCTGCAGTCCAGTGCCTGGAACTAAATCCTCGACTGCTGCTGTTAAAAACACGCATTACAATCTCTAGAACACGAGGAAAAACAGGGTCTTGTACATATGTTTTTTGGAATTTCTTTGTAGCATCAGTGTCTTCCTGTTTTACCATGTCTCTTACCATTCCTTTTTTTGACTTTGTTTTATATGTTATTGGAATTTGTAAATTTACATTTTTTTTAAAGAAGAGACTTGATGTGTAGATAGAAAACTCTTTTTTTTTTGGCTTCATTAGTTTAGTTTTAGAATGGGTTTTTATTTCCTTTTTTAAATTTTTTATTTTGCTTTTAACATTTCCTTGGGGTGCTTGGACAACCCTATCTGATGGGACAAGGAGCACCGGATCCTCTCTCGGGTTCTGCCTAGGATCTGCCCGGCCACATCAGCCTACAGAAAGCAGTGCAACGGCCGCCAGCATTGCCATTTGCAAAACAAGAATGAGAAAGAAAGAGAGAGAGAGAGAAAAAGAGAGAGAGAGAGAGAGAGAGAGAGAGAAAGAAAGAAGAACATTTGTTCATAGGAGGGCCCCGCCAGGCAGAGCCCTGAATCTTCCTTGTCCCACTTCATTCCCACCTCTACCCTTCTAATGGCAGCATGATGTGTAAACTCTGCAGAGGGGTGGGGGTGGGTCTAACTGTCTTAACATTTAATTCACTGCTGTTCAGAATACACTCTAGACCCAAAGGTGTGCTAGTCACCTGACAGTGACCACTAAAATGTGCTAAGAAAAGAAGATCAAGGGCACGAAAATGGGGAGAGTGTTATTTCTGTTTTTCAAATGAGTTGATGTATCCTTATATATATATATATATATATATGAATATATATAAAACAACAAAACAAAACAAACAAAAAAACAAAAAAAAGAGAAAAAAAAAACAACAAAAAAAAATCAAGCCCTATATTTGATCACTTCCTGGAAAGGCATGAATGTGTTTGTGGCTATTTTTGTTTAATATTCTACTTCCTCTTTTCCCTCTATAATTTTTCTGCAAATGAGATTATGTGCAAATACCAGGCAAGTTAACTCAAAAGGGTGAATCAAGGAAAGTGAAAAGAATTTTAAGTGGAAGGCTTCCAAAGCAAAGGAAGAATAGGATGTGTTATCAAATATGTTGTGTCACCTTGTATTATACGAAATGTTATTTTCTAAAGAGTCAGAGAAAATCTGTGAAACTTATTGTGGAGTCCCCTTGTATTTAAATGTTAACTCGCTTGTATTTAATTTTTAAGGCTACATTCAGAATTAGGTGTTTTGTTCAGTCTGTGCACATAAGCAACACTTATTAATATCAAGGTGTTTAAATAAGAACTCAGGAGGTCAAACATATGAATACCAACAGAGATCAGCATTTTCAAAACAAATATTATTTACGCAAAATAGTTTTAAAATTAGATCAGAAAGCATTTAAAGTAGTTAATTTTACTGTATAAAGAATTAATTTTTTAACTATATGATTCTATCTTTCAGAAAGAGAAAGCTGATGCTCCCAGGACTTCCATCACTTACCATGTAGCTTTATGTTTGAAAACAATGACATAAGCAGCTAATTCATATACATGATAAGAACAATACAAAATCAATAACAAAGGAACCTGGGAAGGACAGAGTTTTTAAAAGGAAATATTACCTATGTAGCTTTTAGTTTAAAAATGTGACAAAAATACTGATAGTAGAACTTATTCATCACTTTAATGATTCATTGTAGGAACTTCCATCACAGTCATCACCTGTGGGTTCGTGTAGTGACTATTGTGTGTTTGCTTTATTCCTACCGCCATATAACAAGAAAACAATTCTACAATACTGCTCCAGTGCTAAGGTGTGAGTTGGCCACAAAAAGGAAAGGTGTAATCTTCAATAAAGGTCACTGGGGGGATAAGATAGAAATGCAAATATCTGAGAAATGAGTATAAGCATTTTGTTACAATGAAAAGGTTTCGGTATCTGTGGGACAAGGTAAAGGAGCCTTGGGATGTACATTAATTTTTATTGGCTTAAAAGTCTTTACTTCCCTGACAACTTGCCTGAGTCTTTCTCTACAATCTGTCTTTATTCCTGTGCTCCCCTTGGATCTGTGTCGTATTTTTGCAAAGCAGAAGTGAAGCTGCAAGGTCGTGTAAAACTTTAAGGTCAGCTTTAAACATTGGGTTATTTTTAGAAACTGAGAAGGCCGTTGTTTACTTTGTACTATGGACACCTGTCAGGGACTGGTGGCAGTGAACCTCATTGGACTGGATACCAAACTCCCCCAGTACTCAGAAATGTGGAAACGTGGCAATGGCCTGGTTTATGTTTTTGGGTTTTATTTTCTTATTTTTCTTCTTAAGTGCACGATGGAAGTGTGGAATAAATGTAGAGGAAGTAATCAGACCACAGTCATATTTTAGGCATCCATAGGTGTTAATTTAGCTGCATTGGGAGTACATTTTTCGTTCTATTTTTAGTGTAGATTTAAGCACTTTGAATAGCATGATTCAGGGATTGATGGGTAATATTTGATATTCTCACAATTTAAGAAACTTTTTTTCCTCTAATGCTTTGTCATATTTTAAAAATGAAATAAATGCAAAACAAGCTATCTATGGCTTTAGGAACATTCCTCCCAAGTATTCCTCTATCAGCTCCATATGAGAACAAACAAAGGAAACTGTCATGTCTTCACGTGCTCTATGTTTAACAAAAGTTCTGTTGGAACTCACAATAAAATGAGAAAAAAATGCATTTCCCCTAGTGTTTAGGTTTCATCTTTCTCTTTTTTTTTCCGGTGGGGTTCTGGGGATAACAATATTCTAGTTTGTAAAAACACAGTTGAAATTGTGAATATGTTAGCCAAGCTGGGGGAGGGAATGGACTTCCAGACTTGGAGATGTGTGATGTTTGGTATTTCCTGTTAATTCATCAATCGCTGCTTGGGCTCTGAATGATACATTATGGATTCGAATGTCCATCCAGTTCTTCAGTGTAATCTCAACTAGCTGCTTCTGAGTGTCCTACACTTTACTTTGATGCTCAAATATTGGATTATTTAATATGAATTTAAATTGAATTCCTTAGGTCTTCCATGAGCAGAGAAGATATTTGTATTTTGTATAGCCAGCTGATTTAAGTTTAGATCAGTTCTATGAAATAAACCCAAAACATGAGTTAGAGATCTTAACGTTCTATATTTCTAAGCTAAGCACCTGATTGATTGTTGAAACAGTCAGTCATTTTGTGATTATTTTCTTCATAGTGTATGTATTTGGGCCCTATTGACTTAATAGTAAAAATATAGAAGATGGTTTCTTCCATGTTTCATTATTATTAAGCATTTTATGACAAGAGCAAAATTAACTGAGAGACAACCCCTAAAATCTAAGTAAGTTTTGTTTATCCTAGAATAATCTTTAACTGTTCGGATACTATTTATGTAAACTAAGATCACCATTTCTTGGAAAGCACTCATTCATACCTTTGTGAAGTATTTTCTGATTCTGGAATGATACACTAGTTCTCTGTTTGGATTAAGTATTTTTAAACTTATGTTTAATTTCTTTCTTTTAAAATTAGTTCTAGTTGATATCATTAGTCTGAGAAGAAATGTGAAATTCAAGGATACCATCAACATCTTCCAAGTGATGTGTCTGACAGGAAGAAAATACACAGAGATGGAAGAAGAAAATCCTTTATTGTTCTGATCTGAACTTGATTGGCCATTAATCCTATTATTTACAAAGTTAATTAATAGAGATAAAGTGTTATTAAATAGGCTAGAAATGTTACTTACAGATGCATTATAATGGAAAAATTTTCTAACAATTCATAAGGTTGTGATAAAGAAATGATAATTCAACTGAGCTCCTGAAAAGGAGATTGTCAGTGGAACCAGAGGCTATTCCTCTCCTTACTATGAATTCTTCCCACTTTACCTGAACCAAGTAAGTAACCAACAGTCAAATCCATAAACAAGATTAAGGAAAATAAGTTCTTGAAACTCCAGACAAAATTATAATGTGTGTAAACCAGTTTTCCTGGGTGTGGATCACAAGATACTCTATATCCAAATACTTGGATTTAGAAGATATTATCATAAACTGATATTCAAATAACCCACAAATCTTTCAGGCATTGTTGTGTCTCATACCCTGTTTTCATTCATGAAAATTCTGGGGGTGATTATTGTTCTTCTACCATAAGCAGTTCTTCTTCCAAAATGGCCTGACTCTGTGGAAGACCTATTTTATCCTGAAGAAAAATTTTATATTAGATCAAATCATTCATGCTTAGACAAATGAGAATTGTTGATTATCATTGGAGTAGTCTACTCATTTTTTTACTCATTCAAAATATAATATAGAGGGAAAGCAAAATCAAGTAATTTGTCAGTGATGTGCTATTTTATTAGACTTCTTATGATTTGTGTTTACTCGTGTTTCCTACAACAAAACTAAGAAATAACACAGTATAGGAAGAGAAGAAACAAAGATTCGATGTGATTTTCTGAAAAGGACCTGCTTTTCTTATGCAAGAATTTAGGATCAATTATATATTTGACTTTCAGCAATTAAGTTTTTCCAGTTTCATGAAGTATAATAAGTCTGGAACAATGTAGAGAATTTTGAGAATGAACTAAAGTGAGGTTGTGATTATTTAAAGTTTTAGCTTTTACTTGTGATTGCTAGTAAAATGAAAGTTTATGCCGTGTTGAGAAATTGAGATCCTGTCACAAGGAGTTGTGAAATCTAACTAAATTTGAATAGAGAGAAGGATAAAGATGATGAGAGTTAATCGTAATCAAAATTTTATGTGCATCATCATCAAAGCTCAGTCACATCCATAGAAAATGCCCAAACTAAAAAGAAGGAACTCAACTCCAGTCTTCCATGAGTGTCATTTCTCAATTCCATGCTGAGAGCACAAAACACTTCTCCATCACACACACACACACACCCACACACACCCACTGTACATCTATACTACATACATATATATATATACATATATACTATAAATGTGTGTACAAATTCCATCTCCTCAATAGTAGATTATTCTTCTCAATAGTAAATTTTCCTTCAAATAGCCTCTGGGTCCACTAACAAACTCATGTTTCTCAATTCTTCATTAAAGTAAGTAAAATCTTTTTATTTCCCTACCATTTACTATCCCTATTGATGCATCTCCTGGGGACCATAAGTCTGAAAAACATTCTCTTTCTCACAAAAGCAATCACCCTAAAAATCATTACATTATGTTACTTCCACTACTAAATGAGCAGAATCTGAAAAACTGCACATGGTCGTCAGAGTACTACATGTAATAATCGATGTTGTATAAATTTAAATCTTCGTATTCTATATAACATTAAGTTTCGAAGGGCATGCTGTGTCATTTTAAAAAAGATTTAATGTGAAATGACATTATTACATAGTGCATGAATATGTGGCAAAGTAATTTGGATCTATCTTTACTAGTCAATGAGCAATTAAATTTTGGGTGATCACATGTGTTTTAGATTAATTCTCAATTGGGAAGAAGATACCTTAATATTAGGATACAGGGGCAGTTGTCTGTATTCCTTGAAGTATATACTCCTGTTAACTAGACTCCTCAGTGTATTTTTTCCGCCAAAGTAGTGGAGGTATGTTCATATAATCTACTATTGAATTACAAAATCTTTTACATTTTCAGATTTTGAAGGAACCCAAACAGGAAAGTGGACTTAGTCATTTTCCTCTGCTGGTGTTCAACTCGTATTTTAAACTCAAGACACTCTCAGATGTTTTCAACAGTCCGTACAAAAGTGCATTTTACATAGTGTTTCCCTTTAGTTTTGCTTACCCTCCTTTAATTTTGTACAATCTAGAATGTATGTAACTCATGCTTAGGTGATGGAGGCGCTCCTTTATTTCTTATAATACTTACAATTATATATTTGGTCTTGCTTTGACTAGCGATAGGAAAATAGACAAATACAAGTGTGAAAATGAGAAATTTTAAACTCGAATTATAATTTGTGTTTTATAGTTGTTTCATAAGTCTGTTGCTCTCTATGAGTATGCTCTCTATATATCCTGTAAAAATAAATTTATATGTTACATAGAAATTCAAGAAATTAAATTATTTATTAAGCTAAAAATGTTTCTTCTGATTTCTACCTGATCATAGATGAAAATAAATTAAATAATGTGTTGTTGGAACATATGTAAGTACGTTTGTTAATTCGATAACTTTTGTTATACTTTTCCTTCCCTCTCTGTTTATGTCTATATAAGGTTATAATTCTAGGCCTAATTCCTATTGTGGCTGTGAAGAAAGAGACTTAATAAATGCCTAGCTGGCTGTGAAAGAAAGAAAGAAAGAAAAAGAAAGATTACTTTTTTAAGAAGTCCATTTATAATCCCACTTTGTTCATTACTGCTGGATTATGGAGAGGTTTGAATCACTGCTTCAATGACTTGAAAGTCATTATCACATTAATGATCTTTTCAATGTTAAATTCCACATATTTTCTTCATAGAATTATTTGAAAAAGAGAAATGAAAGGAATGATAGCATGTGAATCCTTCTTTGCTGTTTCTGTTTTTTATTTCTTACTCTCCAGGCATTTTAGTCCTTTCTTTTTAAAGTCCTACTCACATAATAACCTTAAAATATAATCCCCTCAGGTAATATTTTAAAGTGACCGAGATCTTTAATCATCTTGTTTTTCTACTCTGTCTGCATGTACTTGTAGTGCTCAGTCATTCTTAAAAGGAAATTATTTTGGCCTTACTTTTTATTTTAAGTTTAAGATAAATAACCTTATTATTTATTTTTGGGGGGAAGGAAATGGTGGTAAATCTTTCCATCACAAGCATAACAAGGGAATAACAATAAGCCTCTTAGAATGAATTGGCTATTAAAGCAGAATTCATATCTTAAGAGGGCAGCCTTTTAAAGAATACTTATTAAAGATGAAGCAGATTAATCATTATGAAAATTTAATAATAGTAATAATTTTTAAAACCCTATAAGGTTATATTAGGTGAGATTTCAAAGTTATCAATATATTTAAAAGTTCATAAAGTCATTTCTACTTCAGTAGGGTTTTTAAATGGACAAAAATAACCTCTGTTAAGAAAGAAAATATTATAAGGATTATAACTCAATGTGTAATTTCTACAGTATATTTAATACTGTGCATCATAGAACATGACACATTGTTCAAAATATCAAGAAAAACCTCTATAGTTAAATATATTCTCATAAATTCTCAGGAATTTTCAATTACATTCATTATTGACAGATTGGTAAAAGATTTACACTAATGGAACATCTTATTACTAGAAAATTCCTAATTAATATCAGATCTACATTTAATTCCTAAACAGAAACATATTATGAGACAAATATTCAGATAATTATAGTACTATAATGATCCAATCACTTACTGTTGTGAGAATTTTAGTAGTTATACAAGTTCTTCAAGAGTTATTCAATCTAATTCCTCAATTAATCTTGTACATATTTCTTCAGTCAAGGTTTAATGTTCAAAATAATGTAATATAGGTAACTCAGAATCCTGTTTTGCATGTAGGAGGGTAGGGTAAGGTTCTGGAGAATAAAAAAATCTCAATTTGACCAATAGATTGGCAAATTATTTGCCCAAATTAGAAATTTTGATGTCAATTGTCTTTTCATTCTACACAGAGGGAGATTTTTACTTGAACAGTTATACATCTCATCTAGAATTTATCAAGCCT